ATGAGGGATGAGTGGGGAAATGCATGCGAGCACAGATGCAGCGACGGTTGCGGGAAATGCGCAGGGGATGGGCAGAGGACCCTTTGAGAAGCGGCAGGAACGCAGAGCGGGGAAAGGGCCCCTTGGGAAGGGAGCAGGGAACGGGGGGATGCGTTGGGAGGAGGGACAGCGTAGGGACGCATTGGGAGGGGCAGAAACGCGTTGGGGGTTGAGGCGTCACCCTGTCCATTTCTCTCCTCCGGGCCATCTCTCCTTTTCCCACTCCTTCCTCTCAGCCTATCCCTTACGCCCCCCCTCAGTCTATCCCTTACGCCTCCCCTCAGCCTATCCCTTACGCCTCCCCTCAGCCTATCCCTTACGCCTCCCCTCAGCCTATCCCTCACGCCTCCCCTCAGCCTATCTCTCTCGCCTCCCCTCAGCCTATCTCTCTCGCCTCCCCTCAGCCTATCTCTCTCGCCTCCCCTCAGCCTATCTCTCTCGCCTCCCCTCAGCCTATCTCTCTCGCCTCCCTCAGCCTATCTCTCTCGCCTCCCCTCAGCCTATCTCTCTCGCCTCCCCTCAGCCTATCTCTCTCGCCTCCCCTCAGCCTATCTCTCTCGCCTCCCCTCAGCCTATCTCTCTCGCCTCCCCTCAGCCTATCTCTCTCGCCTCCCCTCAGCCTATCTCTCTCGCCTCCCCTCAGCCTATCTCTCTCGCCTCCCCTCAGCCTATCTCTCTCGCCTCCCCTCAGCCTATCTCTCTCGCCTCCCCTCAGCCTATCTCTCTCGCCTCCCCTCAGCCTATCTCTCTCGCCTCCCCTCAGCCTATCTCTCTCGCCTCCCCTCAGCCTATCTCTCTCGCCTCCTCTCATCATATCTCTTCCCCTTTCCTGAAGCGGACCGCCGTTCCTTTCCCACCGCCCACCTTCCCTTCGACACCGCAGCTCGTGGTGCCACGTGGCGGAACGATGGCCCATTCACGCCAGCGGGCCTCGCTGACGTGGCATTGGCTAGCAGTGCTGCCGGGAACAGGATGGAGGGGAGGGCCAAGGGGAGGAGGGGAAGGGGAAGGGAAAAAAGGGGAAAGGGGAAAAGGGAAGGGGAAGGGACAAGGGGAACAGAGAGAAAGGGGAAGGAGGGGAGGAGGGAAGCATGCGCATTAGGGCGAAGCCGACAGCACAAGGGGCGGCTAGCAAGGGAAGAGAATGTTCCCAAGGGAGTCGCGGGGAGACCTCGCTGCACTGAGTTGCACCGGAGGCTTGTCACAATAGCCAATGGGAGCCAATGCCACGTCAGCGACGAAGCGAAGCGATCCGCGAACGCGGCATACCGCGGTTATGGTCCCTCGTCGTCGCGTTTTCTGCGCACACGGCACGACAGCGGCGACCCAATCGACTCAACGCTGTGACGCGCCACGCCGATCTTGCTTCCCCACTCTGTAGCCTCGCGACAGCCGCACTGGCGTGCCATGCGGTTCGATGGCGTGCCACAACTTGCCGTGCGATGCAATGCCGCGATGCAAGGCGGCAGCTCCGGGGTCCACGAGTGCCGCGCGATTCAACGAGCGACTGCGTGAGCCCGCGGGACTGGGTAGGGTCTAGATACTGCACACGATGGGACCCACGCAACGACTCCCCCCCCCCCCCCCCCCCCCCCCGCAACGAGTCGGAACGCGCAGCAATGCCTTCCGCGCTAAACTGCGTCTTTCGCGGTGGTCACACCTGATTGGCCGCGGGTGCACGCGCTCGACGAGAGGAAGGGCGCCACGGCTTGTCGCCGCGGCAGCTGCACGACGCGACGAGGCAGCGCGGGGAAGGAGGGTCGGCAAGGGAGGAGGGTGAGAGGCGAGCGCAGAGACGAATAAGACGTCAAGACAGGCGGCAAGGGACGCTGGTTGCCGGCGAGAAGCAAAACGTTGGTACGGCGGGAAGCTGGTATGGGTAAGAAGGACTTACTCCTAGGCGCGCCTGGTGGCCAGCCAAGGAACTGCCGGCAGCAACGGAGGAAGCAGTAGCGGCAGCCATGGCAGCGTGGTGGTGACAGCAGAATGATACCGCGACTCTGTGAGCAAGTGGTTCAGCAAGGGGTGATCACAGATTCACGGCTCTCGCCTCGCCTCGTTACCGCTCTCAGCTCAGTCAACGGTGATCAGCTGAGGAGGGAACATCAAGCGTTTCATCCTCGAGCCGAACTGGCGTATCATCTTAGGGATGGCCAAAGGCTTACACGTGGCGAAGGTCGTCCCAGAACAATTGGAGAATATGCCATGTAGGCTCAGATTCTCGTCAGTGGCTGAAGATAGTCCACCTTGGCAACGTGTGAGGGGAATGTATCTCTTTATTGGAAGCCTCACGAAGCGTGGGGCGTCCCGAACTGTTCTGCGTGATATTTTCCTTTCATTCTCTCAAAGTAGGATGGAATCATCACTTTCCTCACCATCCCCCTGCGTCCGCCCACTTCGCCCTCTCCCCCATTCACAACCTTCCCCCCAAGCCTCCTTCCGCCTTCCATATTGCGCCTCACTTTGCCTCCCAACACAACCCGCACAACCCTCGCACACGCGTTCACCCTGCCATCCTCCCCTCTGCTTGTTGTCGCCTCCACCGATCCCGCCGTCACATCCGCGTTCGGACGAGCTTCCTCCACCGTTTCGCGCCGCCTTCGCTCATTGAGAGCCTTTCGTCGCCGTCCCTCCGCCTCCATCGCGCCTCGTGTCGATCCGCCCGCCTCTCCTCAAAATGCAGCGCGCGCCAGCAGCCGCCTTCGCGCTCGTCAGATCTGCCGTCCTCGGCCACGTGCGGCTACCCGTCGCGCCTTCCCTCTGGTCGCGCCTCGGAGACGCGCCGGCCGCCGGCGGTGCGCTGAGCCGCGGGTTCGCGGAGTCGGCGGGGACTTACCTGGACAAGAAGGCGGTGACGGAGCGCGTGCTGGACGTAGTTAAGAGTTCCAGAAGGTGGATCCGAGCAAGGTGAGGTCGCCATGAATCGCTCAAAGCACGCTGGTCGTTGCGCAACCCTAAGAACTGTTGCGCTAGTGCCTGCCTGGCGGCTGGCTCATTAGGGTTGTCGTTTTGAAGGCGGAGCATGGCGGTGCGGGCTGCTATGAATCGGAAACGGTCAGAAGCATGGATCCCGAGACCGCTCCGCTGGTTGGTGATTCACCCCGTCTTTCCGTGCTACAAGTGCGTCGAATCTGCTATGACAGTGCGGATTCCGAACCTCTCGTAAGGCCGATGCGGCTGCGCGCGAGAACTAGGGCCGTCAGGGTGTCGCTCGCGGCTGATCGTGTTGATCGCAGCGGGAATGGCAGTGGCGCTGGGAAGTTAGAGAGGGCGGGGTGGGGGTGGTGAGGAGAGTCCACGAGAGGGAATGGTCGAGGTCAGCCTGACATTCCTCTTTCCTCCCCTCCCGTTGCCTCTTCCCCCACTCTCTTCCTCCTTCCCTCCTTTTCCTCCATCTCTTATCCGTATCTCTCGCACTCGTTCCTCTCACTCTGTCCCACCCGCCTGTCCCTTGATTTCTCTCTTTCGTTCTCGCTCTCATGTTTCAGCGTGGCACGGCACGGCACGGCACATCATGCTGTTTGTTGTATAATGGCATGATCATGCAGTACACTTGAGTAATATAGTGCATGTCATAGCATGGCATGGCATGGCATGGCAAAACTAGGCGCGGCAGTGCATGATACACGTTCTCGCCACATTCGGTATGGGTGAATCGCGAAGGTCGACATCGTGTGGCACCATGCCAAGTCACTCGTCAGATCACCACATCTGAATGCGCCGTGCTCTGATCGATCATTTTTCACCCCATCCCCTCCCACCCCGTCCCATCGAATCGCACCGCATCAGGTCAGATGATAGCACGCTGGACCTGTGGTGGAACTGGATGACGGGTGGAGCATTGTCCCGTCGTCACCGCGCACGCCATTCCCGGGATCCGGTGTGTGTGCAGGAGACCCCCACAGCGCAGGTCTACAAGGATCGGGGCCTGGACCCACTGGACGGCGTGGAAATGGTGATGCCAGTTGAGGTGAACCAAATTCCACGCAAAGCCTTCCTCCCTCTCTCCCCTCTCCCCCCTCTTCCCCACCTCCCCCCGACCCTCCCCCCCCCCCCCCCCCCTTCTGCTCCCTTCCGCCATCCCCCCCTCTTCCCCCTCATGCCTCGCGTGACCCTTCGCTCAGATGACTCCACGACGCCCTTCCAGACGGACTTGGACTTGGGGCTGGACTTTCAGACGGGGTGGAGATGGTGATGCGTGCAAGGGGGGATAACAAAATATGCATAGCCTCCCCCCGCTCCCCAGCCCCCCCGGCCCCCCCCCAGCCCCCCCCGCCCCCCTCCCCCCAGTCCTTGCTTTTCCATGCCTCCTGTGACCCTGTGTGTGCAGGTGGCCTACACTGCTCACTTTCAGAAGGACCTGGGGCTGGACTCACTAGACGGTGTGGAGGTGGTGATGGCAATCGAAAAGGGTTCTGTGCTAAGCCTCTCCCCTTCTGCTCTCCCCTCTCCCCTCTCATGCCTCCTGTGTCCCTTCGCTCAGGTGACCCCCACGGCGCACTTCCAGAAGGACCTGGGGCTGGACTCGCTAGACGGCGTGGAGGTGGTGATGGCGTTTGAGGAGGAGTTCGCCGTGGAGATCCCCGATGCAGATGCCGATAAGATCACGTCGTGCGAGGATGCCATCAACTACATTGCGTCGCACCCACAGGCCAAGTGATGTGCATGCATGCTCGTAGTGCTGTGCTACTAGGTTATGCCATGGTAAATTAGAACCGGTTTTTTTTTGTTAAGGGGTTGAAGAGACGCTTGGCTGTTCATGGTATGGTACTATTTAGAACTCTTTTACCGGAATTACATTGTTTTTTTTTTGCCATTGAAGTGTACCTGTCCAACACACATACCCGGATTCGCGAAATGCTGGGCCAATCGGGATCCTCTTGGCACTTGCGTGAGCTTGCGATTGCGACTAGCCACCAGGGCCCAACGAAAGTCATGTGGGACGTGCAGTCATGCAATGTGCGTTGTGCGAGCGAACACTCTGCCGGAAATATTCACTGCCGTTTTTCCTTCCAAGCCAGTCGAGTCAGACAACGCTGGCGTTATCCGAGATGTAGCAGGAGCGAGGGTGGATGCACATGCACATGCATCTCCCCTATTGAGTGACGCGGGGTTGGTACGACCTACCGTAGTTTGCGACCTCATGCTGCCAGTCGTCCAAGCCTTCCGCGGTGCTGCCTTGCTGCCGTGTAGCACTGCTACCGCGTTACCGTGTTACCCTGTTACCGCGCCTGTTGGCAGCGCAATGATGGCCGCGTCGCGCAAGTTCGCGGTGCGACTAGCAGCGGCGCTCTTCCTGGTCCTCGCGCGCTACGGCTACGGCGCGTCGGCTCGACTAGACGCCGCTCAGAGTAAGCAAGCCTCGGTATAAGCCTCCTCGAGATTAGGGCTTTCACCGATTTCGCCGTGCAAGCCACCTCTTCCGGCACAGACAACTCTGCCCGCCATGCCTCTCCACTACTAGTAGTTTTTACTTCTGTCGCGGTCGCGGTGGCGGCGTAGCCGCTGAGAAGCGAATGGGGTTGCGAAGACGGCCGCGGGGGACGATGGTCCAGAGCGCCGCGTGGAAGCGACGACGACACTGAGGTGTCGCTGACGCTGCGGAATGGGAAATGATGATTGCCAGGTTAGAGCCCGCCGCGTCTCGGGTTTTCAACAGCAATGCGGCTCTTGCAGAATCAGGGAGAGACGAGAGTTGCAACAGACCGACGCTTCCCTCGCTACCGTCGTGAGGGCGTCAGGCATGGCAGTGTGAGCGAGTGGGTGTGAGTGAGATGAGAGCGAGGCGTGACTGTGCGACATGGCAATGTTACAAGAACTGCGCCTTTTTCTTAATCGTCGTGCTCTGATTCGTCGGTGCCCTTCCGGCGGCCAGCCTGTCTGACCCGATTCGTGATTCCGGTTGTCTCCCGCGCCCATGTGTGCAGCTCGAGTGCTGCAGGACTGTGAGGCAGCTTGGAGTCGAGAAGACATCGTGCCTTTTGCTTGCTTGACTCTCAGTGTCGAGTGTGACCAATCGGAGACCAACATCATATCCTTGTGAGTTGTAGCTCTGGCTGTAACCCTATGCACTGTTGGGCTATGCACGGGGAAGTGGGGCCGGCGGGAAAGGGGGGGGGAGGGGAGGCGGGGGGGGGCGGCTTTCAGGTCGAAAATCTGCCCAAATTTGCGGGGATTGGTGGCACTCCAGCCCGTGTGAATTGGCGGCGCGGCGAAACGCCTCAACCGGGCCTTGCGCGTGGGGGAGGGGAGGGGTGGGGGCGGCATGGGCCCGTCTCTTGCGTATGACTGCTAGAGGAAGGCCATCGCGTCTTGCTCATATCCCAATATACGCCACAGCAGCTTCCTACAAGAGGATCCGCGTGGAGACTTCCCCCCAAGTGTCATGCAGAGACTTGCGAACCTGTCTGAATCCACCCCTAATGTGGCGAGGGCAGTTTGCCGCCGATTGTCTACAGTGCCACTTATCTGATGTGAGATGTCTGGTTCACCGTCGACTTTCTCTCTCTGTCATGCTGTGCAGATCGTTCCCCTCCATGTACCTCACAGGCCCCCTCCCACCCTCCATTGGCACTCTCACTGCTCTCACCTCTCTGTAAGCCTCTCTTGACTTGACTAGTACCTGTCACCACTTTGCCTGAATCTCTTGCAAGCCTTTCTCCTCCTACTCTCTTCACAGTTCGCTCGCTTGCTTTGCCATCTCTCGCCCAGTCCGTTTGTTCTCCCGGATGCATTGCCCTCTGCTTTAGTTTCCTTGCGGTCTCTTATGCCAACGTCGAGGGCCTTGTGCTAACGGTTTCATTAATCATGATGTGGATACGGGATGGCATGGGCATGGGATGGCATTGACACGGCATGGGATGGCATTGACACGGCATGGTATGGCATTGACATGGCATGGGATGGCATTGACGTGGCGTGGGATGGCATTGACGTGGCGTGGGATGGCATTGACGTGGCGTGGGATGGCATTGATGTGGCGTGGGATGGCATTGACGTGGCGTGGGATGGCATTGACGTGGCATGGATGGCATTGACGTGGCATGAGATGGCATGGATCCGGGTGGCATGCATGCGGTATGGCGTGGAAGCGTGGTGGCATGCACATGGGATGGCATGCACACAGGGACCTGTCAGGCAATGGCTATCTTCGAGGCCCATTCCTTCCAATTTCAGCCGCCTGTCTCGGCTGCAAGTCCTGTGAGTCCATGGCACCTGCTCTGCTCAGCATCACCACAAGCCCAGCCGTATTTGGCTCACCCGTGCCGAGCTGCCGACGGAATGCCTGGCTCATGGCTCGTGCAGAATGGACGAGCCAGTGACCGGCTCGAGGCGAGCCGAGTCGTCTCGTCGCGTGTCTGCCAGATTGCGAGCCTGCCTTGCCTCGTTCGCCAGGGTTGAGCCCGCCACATCCTGCCAGCGAGCAGTCCGCCTGCCGATCTGCGCGGATTTGACAGGTCCGCTTGTGGATTGACGAGCCGGGCGCAGATCGTCACTTGGACGCATCTACACGGGAATGCAGCTCGCAGCTCTACCAGCCGATTATACCCGACCCGCCACTCGGGTAACGAACTACCCGGCCCCCAGACCCCGGTTTGGGTAATGGACCTTGTGGGGTCTACCCGACTGTTACCCGACCAGACCCGACCCTGGGTAGGGGAAATCTGGGTCAGGTCGGGTCGGGTTATTCTTGAACCCTAGGGCGGGGTGAGGGCCGACCCGGCCCGAACCAGCCCAGCCCAGCCCGTGCCCGGGGGCGTGGACGGGCCGGCCAAAACCCGTCCCCTTGACCATGTCTGACTGACAACACGGCATCCTTCACGCGCTAACATCATTTCAGACGTGTTCTTCATTTTATTTCTCTTCTTTCTAGTCTTTCTCCAAGGGCTATCAGCGTCCCCCCTCATCCATCCTTCAGTCACCCCTCCCCTTTCTGCTTGTGCCATTTCACATCGCTTCACCATGTGCCCCCGCTGGCAGAGATTTGTCCTCAATAAGCTGAACGGGTCGCTGGATGCGGTGAAAGCAATGACCAGCCTGCGTGACTTGTAAGTTGTAAGCCCCTCACTCTCCACCTGCGTGCACTTGCTCTTCAGAGCCCTTGGTTTTGCCAACTCAGGCTTTCATGCACCTGCTGGCGAGCGTGGCAGCCTTGACAGAGAAGCAGGGGTGTTTAATGGGAGAAGCTGATGAGCTTCCTCTGTACGTCAGGTCATATTAAAAATGGGGATGCCAACAGATTCCGATTCAATGTTGAGAGGTGAGTACAAGTAGATGTAGCTAGCCGCAATGTGTTCTACATACGCTCCATGCTAGCCACAACTCAACTTAATTAGGTGAAACGGATTGAATAGGCTACAGTACAATGCAAGTGAGAGAAAGCTCCACAATGTGAGTGGAGGCTCGTCCTCCCTGCTGCTGTGGAGGAGCAGCGACGGGGCAGTGACGTGTGGAGGAGCCCATGTTGCTGGCTTCTCAACACATCGTCTTAGCGGAACTCGTCTTGCCAAGTTGCCCGTTACTGATGCTGTGCCTCTCGCTGTATGCTTGCTGTGCCTCTCACTGTGCGCTTGCTGTGCCTCTCGCTGTGCGCTTGCTGTGCCTCTCGCTGTGCGCTTGCTGTGCGCTTGCTGTGCGCTTGCTGTGCCTCTCACTGTGCGCTTGCTGTGCCTCTCACTGTGCGCTTGCTGTGCCTCTCAATGTGCGCTTCCTGTGCCTCTCACTGTGCGCTTGCTGTGCCTCTCGCTGTGCGCTTGCTGTGCCTCTCACTGTGCGCTTGCTGTGCCTCCCGCTGTGTGCTTGCTGTGCGCTTGCTGTGCGCTTGCTGTGCCTCTCACTGTGCGCTTGCTGTGCCTCCCGCTGTGCGCTTGCTGTGCGCTTGCTGTGCGCTTGCTGTGCCTCTCATTGTGCGCTTGCTGTGCCTCTCACTGTGCGCTTGCTGTGCCTCTCACTGTGCGCTTGCTGCGCCTCTCACTGTGCGCTTGCTGTGCCTCTCACTGTGCGCTTGCTGTGCCTCTCAATGTGCGCTTGCTGTGCCTCTCGCTGTGCGCTTGCTGTGCCTCTCGCTGTGCGCTTGTTGTTCCTCTTGCTGTGCGCTTGCTGTGCCTCTCACTGTGCGCTTGCTGTGCCTCTCACTGTGCGCTTGCTGTGCCTCTCGCTGTGCACTTGCTGTGCCTCTCACTGTGCGCTTGCTGTGCCTCTCACTGTGCGCTTGCTGTGCCTCTCGCTGTGCGCTTGCTGTGCCTCTCGCTGTGCGCTTGCTGTGCCTCTCGCTGTGCGCTTGCTGTGCCTCTCACTGTGCGCTTGCTGTGCCTCTCACTGTGAACTTGCTGTGCCTCTCACTGTGCGCTTGCTGTGCCTACCGCTGTGCGCTTGCTGTGCCTCTTGCTGTGCGCTTGCTGTGCCTCTCACTGTGCGCTTGCTGTGCCTCTCACTGTGCGCTTGCTGTGCCTCTCAATGTGCGCTTGCTGTGCCTCTCGCTGTGCGCTTGTTGTTCCTCTCGCTCTGCGCTTGCTGTGCCTCTCACTGTGCGCTTGCTGTGCCTCTCGCTATGCATGGGCAGTCGAGGCGAGTAAAAACTCGACTCGATTGCTCAACTCGTTTTTTCCGAGTAACGAGTCGGCGGCCCCTGGAAATTTCTCTCCCTGAGTCGAGTCGAGTGAACTCGTCAAGTAAACGAGTACTCGACTGTTACTCGTCTCATTTGGGCGAGTAAAAATTACTCGCGAGCAACAACTCCGCGTAGGCTTGAGCATGAACCCGACCCGACCCGACCCGACCCGACTTTGCCCTACCCGATGTCGGAGTCGGGTCGGGTCGGGTCGGGTCAAGTCGGGTCGGAGTTCAGGAAATGCCAACCCGACCCGAGTTTAGTAGGTCGGGTACTACTTGACCCGATTTCGGGTCGGGTTAACATAGGGCAGGGACGGGTAATAAGCTGACCCGACGGGTCGGGTTTTGTCGGTCGGGTCGGGTCGGGTCGGGTCGGATACCCGAGGGTCGGGTCGACCCTCCGCAAATGTCGACCCGACCCGTCAAAAAGTCGGGTTCGGGTCGGGTTACCCGACCCGACCCGACCCGTTGCTCAAGCCTAACTCGCGCGTGCAAAAAACGAGTCGGGTTCTTGGCAAAAAAACTCGACTCGAGTAATGCTCGACTCGCCTCCCAAGAGGGTCGAGTCAGAATTACTTGGAGCAAGTAATGCTCGACTCGCCTATTGCCCATGCTTACCTCTCGCTGTGCGCTTGCTGTTCCTCTCACTGTGCGCTTGCTGTGCCTCTCTCTGTGCTCTTGCTGTGCCTCTCACTGTGTTGCACTGTTGCGCTGCGCTGTGTATGTTTTGCTTCAGAAAGCTGAATGGTAACAACTTCAAGGCGATTCTTCCTCCATCATTTTCAACCCTCACCGCTCTTACATATATGTAAGTGGCAGGTGTAATGCCGTGGCTGACAGTTGTAATGCCGTGGCTGGCAGGTGTAATGCCATGGCAGCTAACGTGTTTCTAACCCATGTCGTGTTTCTGCCTTTGCCTCGTTTTATGTCTCCATTATTAACAACGTGAGAGATGTTGTTTTTTCCTACCAATCCCTTCGATTTATTTCTCTCCGAGATGCACATCTCAGCTATTGTTGAGCTCAGAACCTGCTTTTCAAAGCTCAGATGGGGCATGATGGCATCACTTTCGGATTGGAATACAGAGACCTGTCTTACAACAAGTTCATCACGGGACACGCATCGCAACTTCTACATCTCACTCATGTGAAAGTTCTGTAAGACTCACCCACAAAGCCATACTTTCCTACATGCTTGCATACTCATGATGCACATACCTTGTACACACAAGGCTTTGCTTTCACCACCCCCCAT